TTTGTCCAGTCTCATCTTAAAGACCCTCAAGGTAGGAGAGAGCACCATGATGATCTGATATGGATAGCAGTACAATGACAGATAATATTAGCGCTGAAACTAACAGTGTAGCTGGTATTAGCAGTAAAACTGAGAAGAAATATTTGAGTCTGCCCAAGATGGGTAGTGTGCAGTGCCTTTCTGACTGGATATCTATGGGGATTTCAGAAGGCTAGCTCTGTTTGTCCTATGTGAGTAGCTGCCCACATTAATCGTGTACATTTTAAATGATGGGGATTATAATTGCATTTACAATCTTGCAATTTGTAGTTACGGTAACTATAAACTACTGCTAGCTAACAGGGCTCTCTGTTTTTTGCAGTTGCTGTGTAGTCTCTTGGGAATGATCTCTGAACATAATATGCCATGTCATTTAACGCATACAGATAGTTGTCATTATTGTTCCCTCGTAACCTATTGAAAGACAAGAGTGTTTGCTAATTTAGTCTGGTTTTGGTCTCCAAAATTTGATACTTTGTTATCTACAGTAGAATATTTTTATAGAAGCTCTAAGCATATATATAAAATTATAGGTTCAGAAAGACAACGGGTTAATGGACTAAATATGTGAATTTTCAGACATCATTTTTTATACTTTGGTATGCCAATGGCGCTTTTTTTTTTTTTTTTTTTTTTTTTTTTTTAAACGAAGGCTAACAGAACAACAAATATTGAAGATTTTGATAAGCTATAAAATACCTGCTCATATTTTTAAATATTTGAAAATAGATTTTAGGTCCATTGAACTCTTCAGCATCATATAGTTGTATTTGTTTAAATTTTGAAATGACTCTTGTCGGTACATTGTTTAATGTAGAAGCTTAAGCAGTTTGCCACACAATTGTTTATATTGCTATGGTTAGAAAGGCTGATTCCCCTAACTCTTCAATTTCTGTAACCATTGATTTTTTTTTTCTAGGAGCTGCAGAATGACCTTGAGACAGAACAAGTTAAAGTAAACTCTCTAACCCATATGGTGGTGATTGTTGATGAAAATAGTGGTGAGAGTACCACAGCTGTCCTGGAAGAACAACTGCAGGTAAATGTATTGTATGCTTTCTAGTATATGCAGTGGTAGGTTGTTTGCTACCTCAGTCCAATAATTAAAATAATTTAATTTTGAAGCTGTTCTAAATAAATACCACCTAATTGTTAATCAACCTAATTCATATTTTTTCTCCTTTTGTAATTTGTCTGTGTATTTTGACACCTGTGGTTTGATAGCATGTTTCATATATTTAATGTAAAATATTAAATCCAAGTGTGGAAAGATTTTTTTTCTGAAGAACTTGGCTGGCAAACCTAGGACCACAGAATGAATTTATCATTTGCTGAGTACAGACATGACACCCCATCAGTTTAAAAAATAGACCTATTTATATTTTGTAAACTAATTTTTAAATCTGTTATTTATGAAAGATTGCACATCAACATAACACTAGCAATATCAATAACAATATCAACATAAAGAATTATTAAAATTACCAAGAGTAAAATGTATAAATGTACATAAAGGAGTTAGGAGCCCAAGCCCTTTTACAGATGATAATTAATAACAATCAGTGCAAATCAAGTGACATGAACCTTTTGCAAAATGTATACTGTTGGCAGTTTCATTTGTGGAACTATTCAAACCCAGTGGACTTATGTAGTGGGCTTTTATTAAGCCTTTTGTGTAAATAATTTTAATTGAGATGTTAAATGTGATGAAAAAGTATTTTAAAGTAGTTACTGTGGTATATATTTTCAAAACAATTACTATGGTATTTTTCAAATGACCTAAAATAAGTAGATTATACCTTGGCATAAAATGGGATATATTTAAGGGTGCGACTTAAGCAATGACTGAGTGACATATGTAAGTTTGCTCTTGTTGAAGAGAAATTTGTTTTACTTACTCCTGGAGGAAAAGGAGCCAAAACTGAGTCCCATCCTTGTGCTTTATGTAAAGCAAGAGCAGCAATTTTAGGTTTGGATGATAATAGTTTAGAAAGTGGCATTATAATTTAGAGAAAGTAATTTATGATTTGAATATCTTGCTTCTTGTAAAGTTTCTAGTGAGCTTTTAACTGTTTATAAATGTCTTGCTGTTCTAGAGACTTGGTGAGCGCTGGACAGCAGTTTGCCGTTGGACTGAAGAACGTTGGAACAAGCTGCGAGAGATTAAACTACTGTGGCAGGAACTCTTGGAAGAGCAGGTTAGTAACTGTGCAAAACTTAGAATCACACACATAATTGTAACTACTCATTTATTCTTAACAAATAATTTGACAAATAAACTGAATTAAATCACTTTTGTCTGGGACTCATGCATATCTACATAGAAATAATATGAGTTGTGTGAGGACAGGCAGATCTAAATTCAATCCAGTAAAAAAGGACAGTCCTCCCCTGTTGTGTGAGGACAGTGAAGATCTAAATTCAGTCCAGTAAAAAAGGATTCTGAGATTTCATATCTGGTACTTATGGACTATTAAGCAACTGAAGAACTGAGCAAAAAGTTGTGCTCTGTGACAGAGAAACCTGAAGAACCACTGATTTTCAGCAAGCCTTGATAGGTGGGGGTTCCTTTGGGAGAAAAGTGGAATTTGTCCTCAAGTGGAGAGGCTTAGACTGGACTGGAGCCCAGTGAAATAGTACAGGGCTGGCTCCATTACTGAAGTCTTGAAGCACTGGATTGTAATGGATTTTAATTGATTCTAATTCGGTGGGAGGTTGCCCATTCTTGCCCTGATGCCAGGGGGTGCTACTTGCAGCTCCGTTCCTCCCCTATACCACAGCTCAAGCCTCGCAGATGGCATTCAGGTGACGCAATTCTCCTGGCCTATGGCTGGACCAAGCTTAGCCCTTGTTGTCAGGCCTCAGATGCAC